GGGGAATATTTGCCTTAGATCATCAGCTGGATATAATGCATGATGGCATATGTAACTAAATGTTATTAGTGATGACTTTGTCTTTGCTAGATGTAGCTGAACCGGCCGGACACTTTATCTTTTATTTACATACATAGTCACATCATAGCTAAAGTTTATATCAATTGGTTTTGTCAAAAGAGACTTTTGCATGCTGACTCGAACACTGACCTGGAGGAATTGTACGGATCGTGCGGTGGACAGGCTGAAATTGTCATTGATCTTGTAGGGCAAGCGGTGAGCTCCATCACGCAGCAGCATATATCTTTTGTACATGTAACCCTTCTTTGCTGCTTGTTGAAATGCACAACCGGTGCTCGATCTCCCTCGTCTGCCAAAGTGCAGACCTAGCCCGACATGCAACGCTGCCCCTCTTGCACAGTTGCACTGCGTATGTCTAAATCCTTCATTAACTGCGTTTTACACATTTACATGTGCAAAAGGACGCCGGTTTTCCATCTATCACGGGCACCTGTGTCCCAGCACCATATGCGTGCATGCTAAATCTGGCATGCATGCATGCTGCTCCTGCCGATGTACGCCGCCGGGCTCAAATAGGAGATAGGCAACGAATTAAAGGACAGCGACTACTTACACCAGAGAACACACATATGCTCAATTGCCGCCGGGGCTGCCAAGAATTGAACCGCGGCACGACATGACTGGGGAGGAAAGTCGTTGCGCGTAGCAGGATGGAAAAGGTCAATCTACTTTTGCTGGTCGAAACTCGGTAACTATAGGGGCGGCGGGGCTTTGCTAATACCACGATAGAGAGGATGGGAGGAAAAATATATTGGTGTTTTTCTTTTCAATTAGATCTGTTATTAGACGTGCGTGGGTTTTCATCATCATCATCATCATTATTATTATTAACAATGTTATGTTTTATATAATGGCAAAGGTGGGTAATTAACATATATGTTTAGGGGGTTATTTTGGGGTATTTCGTAATGGCACTATGGGTAATTTTTTTAGAAAAACATAATAGATCTAATGGCTATTAATATTAATAGTGATTAGAGTCCATCAAATTGATGGCTAGATCTTTCTAATTATTGTGAGAATTTTAAGGATTTATCTTTTTTTCCTAACGCGTCTGCTGAGAATTAACGTAGAGTCTCCATTGAAGCCTCTAATTAGTAATATTAAAATAAGACTCTAACCATCCCCGGAACAATTGCCATTGATCGAATCCACATTTTGTTTTCTTCTATACTAAAAGCTAGAAGACATGAATGTACGTTTTCACAAGTAAATTTCTATAGTAGAACATTTACAATAGCATATTTTGGTTAAAACCAATTTTTTTTTAAAAAAAATCAACCTTTAGCAATAATGGCACGTGCGACGTGAGGTGGTAGCAGGGACAGGCCCAGGGAATACCCAAAAAATTGCAAGAAACTTTGAGTATGATAGCAAGCGTATTACGTGCGCATACGTTGCAATGAGACCCTAATACATATAGAATCAGACTCCGTATTTATAATCGCTAGGTGTGAGTTGTTTAAGCTCATATGAATATGGATCATGAGTCTAGGTCAATACGAGACGAACTCTCTATTGTCCGGGTAGTTAGAAGGAGGTGCGCGAAAATACGGTAATGCTTTGTTTAGGGTGTTCGGATGCACTGTTCCCATCTGGACACATCGAACCATCCACACAGACAATGCACTCCGGATGCGCTGCTCGCTCCTGCCTGCGCCATGCGCCCTCGCCTACTGTAGCGGATCGACAGCGCCAACGCGCAAGGCCACGCCACCGTCTTTATCGCCAAGTTCTTCGTCCACGCTGGCCTCATGTCCCTCATCACTACTGTCCCCCGAGCCGCAGCGCCTAGGTAGGCCTAACGCGGCCGGCTCCACCATGGCAGGGCGCCTCCATCCGATCGGTGCTGCCACCACCGCGCCGCGCCGATTCGCGCGCGCATTGCCCGTTGCGTTATGGCGAAAAACGCGTGTTTTGCAAATGTATGTTCTAGATGTTTCAGATGTTTTCAGACGTACGTTATAAGTGTTTCATACGGATGTTACAAAAATAGATTGAGATGTTTCATATGTTTCAATGGTTTTGTACATGTATGTTGCAAGCTTCTGTTTCCAATGTTTCTCTATTTTTCAAACGTATGTTGCAAGTGCGTTCTATCTAGATGTTGCATATGTTTTACACATATGTTGTAAATGTTTTATCTGGATGTTGTGAATGTGTCACAACGGTTTTCAAGTGTTTTTCACGTGTTTTTGCAAGTGTTTCTGACACATGTTTCAAGTGTCGCATCTGTCTTCTGTTGTATGTTGCAAATATTGCATCTGGATATTTCAAAAGTATATCAGGTGTTGCACAGAGATGCGCATGGGAAGCGAGAGGGGGTGCGAGTGGTCCTCGGGTGAGCGTGGCGAGGGCCCCCATGTGGGCGCGTGAAACGCAGGCACGGGAGGGCGACGTATGAGCGATGCAGGCCCCATGCTAAACGAAGGTGTGGAAACGAATTGCAGCCATGTGTGTCCATCGGAAAAAATGAGAAGGGAGAAATTTTGCCTCTCTAATATTGCAATAATAGATAGATATAGATATAGATATAGATATAGATATAGATATAGATATAGATATAGATATAGATATAGATATAGATATAGATATAGATATAGTAGATATATAGATATGTATGTGTATTAGAAAAAAAAAGAGAAAATAAAGCCAAACGAATATCTAGTAAGAATTCAGTCCAAATACACGCATTCTTCTGCGGTTCCTTCTGCAGATTTCCTTCCTCCCCACTCGATGGCCCAACAAGGCCCAGCGGCCTGTGGCCCAACTTCTCCCATGTCCCACGCCAGGCAGCATACGGGCCGCACCGCAAAGTTAAGAGAGACATCGGCACATGGTTCGCTCGTGTAGTGTTCACAGTTCACTCCTTCATTCTGCCGTGTTCTTCCCCAGCCGCACTGGTGGCGACGGTGGAGCAGCGGACTCCGGCGGCGGCGAAGAAGCGTCGGCGTTGGCTGCCGTGCGCAGTGGCGCAACTGGCAAGCGACCTTCGGCAGAGCGCAAGCGCAGTACCTCTGCATGGGACCGTGGTGCCGCGGGGGGGCTACTGGTCGGCATCATGCTTTGTTCATGTAGAGCACACACTTGGGTATAGAGTACTGGTTTAAAAATACCAAATTGCAAAACAAATTTTACCATTGCCTACTGAATTGCTAAACAGATTTTACCGATTTGTGTATGCAAATTTTAGCGTTGCATACCCTACAGAATTCTGGGGCTGCAACTGCTTCCACCAATGGGTTTTAGATTGTAAAAAAAAAAATATCTCATCACAATTTTGAATACCTGAGGTTAAAATCCTAGTCCCTCCACTGGGAGGTAGCAGACACAAATATATACAGGAAGTACCATCCATCTTTTTTTTGAAACAGTACCATCCATCTTATGCGAAAAGAGCAACCAAATCAAATACCTCAGTACAGACCGCACTGTATTTGTGTCTGCTAGCTCCTCAAGCACGTCCATAGTAACAATGTTTAGGCGATTGGTTTCATCATTACCCCTAAAATCCTTGTAGGGATGTAAGGCAGGTTGAATCAGCATATATATAGGTTTAATTTTTATAGATTTACATAGATAACCCGTAAATTGAAGCCTATTTACAAGTTCGCATCCTTAATCCCTGATGCTCTTCTGGGCTTCGGGCGAGAGGGTCTAACAGACAGACACCCACATACTTCAGGCAGTTTACGAAATAAATGCACTTCAAATTTTCACTAAGGATACTTTTGCAGACATTGTTAACTCAAAGCCATGGAACATCAACCTTTTACCAGCAGGCGTCAGATAAACTAATGCCCATTTTTACACGCTAACACGAAAGATTGCCATTAGTGAGTCACATCTCTCAGTCAACCAAGGAAGTGCAAGAAAGCATTAAACATGAAATGGAATAGTCGATTAAGCATCATACAGGTAATATACAAGCAACCTGTTTATCTTTTATTTTTCCTAGTGCTTTTTTCTTCTTAGTGCACAAAGAACCATCAAATTTCACACTAAAAAACTCAAAGCAACAAACTCAGGCATGAACAGAGGCTACAGTATAATATACACCCCTAGTTCAAACTGCCCTCACAAAAATTTCAATAATTTAAACAATGGTTTAAAAAACAAATATGGGCATATTATTTGATAATGAAAAAGATGTAACCATTTAGCACCAGAGTTAAAGAAACCAGTCCAGAAAAGTTCTCATTTATGACACCAGCGTAATACAACAAAATTGCAAACAAATACTCTGCTTGCATTTTTGAAAATTTGCATTTCTAAAAAAAACAGAGGGATAATGATTGAATAGCCAGCATGAATGGGAAAGATTATCTGAATTAAAAATGCAAAGTTAAGGAGACTTCCATGTGTGAAACCCTGTTAGCCAACAGAATGGGATTGAATATTCTTACAGTCCAATCAATATTCTACTAATGAAAATTGTAATGAAATAAAAGAGGCTACAGTTAGATTTGGAAATAACGAATCATCAGGACTGATGGGGTGAAGGTTCTCAGTAGCAATGTTCAGACTATTTCCTAACCACTGCCAGATATTCTGCCAAAAGGGCTAGGGCACACACACAAACTGCAGGTATTGCAGCCTTGTCAACTCACAAAGCCACGGGACATTAACTTTTTAGGAGTACACACTATTAACTTCTGGCCTTAACTGAGCACTGACAGAAAAGATTGCCTTCATTTCATTGACATTTCTTCAATTGGCCGGTTAAGGTCTAGCAGAAATTCTGGACCCGTCCTTGGATATGTTGCCAATGTCAGTTAAAAACGCCAATTGTTATGTGAACAATTGCAAAACTTAGTCATCGAGTAGGATGAGTGGTATGCATTGTTTACCAGGACGCTTTCATTTTGCGCATTCATATTGGTATTGAAATGCAAGTCAACACATCAGTTCAATGTGTGTTACAACTGCATTGCATTGCTAGTGCTCAATTGTTCTGTTGGACGCCACTGCCACCATAATACTGTTTTGTTGTCTGACGAGAAAATTCTGCAAATGTCATCCCTTCTTTTAGCCTTGATAACAGAGGGGGAATTTTTTTTCAGAATTCCTTGCATAAATGCATCTTCATCACAAGGCCCTGTTGATCCATCACTGACGGCCGAAGTCCCCTTGCTAAGAATGGATTCACCTTCATCTAAAGAATAACCAAGATAAGCTAAAGTTTTGTCCCATGAGGGCTGTAGGAAGACAACAAAAGTCTCCCGGCTGATGTCTGTGGAACTCAAAGGTCTACTCACAGCATGAAGTGTAGATTTCAATTTCCCTTGGGACAAGATGTCTGCTGCCTCTCCAACCTGAACAATGAAGTTCTCAGGAGAGTATCTAACAGAGAATATCTTCCTTCCATTGCATAACTGCGAGTGTGTGTGGCCATCAGGAGGATGACATTCCAGGTTGACCAAACTATTTTCGTCATCAGAGGCTCTCAGGAACAATGGTGCTGTTAAAACAGTGAGGATTCCATAGTCATAGTGCCATTCCTGCCATAAGTTTAACAGGGAAATTTCAGCAGTAGCCTGACCCGGAATCGAGGCATCCTTAGAATCATTTTCTTTTTATTGACGTTACAGTAGTCCCATCTTCTGACTTAATGCAGCACCCAGACCTCCTTCCAGAACACGACTGAGAAGGTTTAACTGCCACTTTATTCACCGAACCTTTCCTCTTTGTGCTCTTATCCCTGATGACATTGTTATCCAGCTCAGAATGGTAGTGAATGAGCCTCGCCTTTGCCGTCCCAAAGTCGGTGATGCTCTGCTCTAGCTGACCTCTACCGATGACAATATCGCAAGCTCGTGCAACCAAAATCCCAAGCTCCATCATGTACAAACCAAGCTCCTTAACGAGGTCACCAAGATTCTCCGTATCATCATCACCGTTAGCCTCCTCAGGTTGGTCACAATCCTGTATCTTATCCTAAGAATTAAACTCATTGTTGTTGTTGACAGACTCAAGCAAGGTGAGTTCACCTGAATGCCTTAGAAGCTGCGCGAACGAGGATACGGACCGATCGAGCTTCTTCAAAGGAACGTCGCTGCCCAATCCGTGCTTCTGAAATAATCGACGGAAATATATCAAGGAACATTGCAGTTTCAAGGTCAACAACGAGAAGAAGGAAAGGGGAGGGGGAGGGTTACCTTGAGGAGTTGGGAGCGGGTCGGGTGGTCCATGAGGGCGAGGCGTCGGGCCAAGGGGAGGAGTCGCCGGCGGAGGGCGCCCATGCGCGGCACTCCGGCGATGGCCAGCAGCCCCGATCCACCTCGGCCGAGCTCGGCCGCGACGGTGTCCACAACGCGGCGGAGCGGCCGTCGTTAACAGGCGTCTCGGGAGATAGGAGGACAACTAGGTCGGAGAAGGAGAGCTCCGCGATGTCCAGCGCCGCCGCCGCCATCTTCGCCACAGGCAGGCCACAGGAGAAAGGCGGCGGCGGCGAAGTCCTTTGTAGTGTGTCTCAGGCGAATGGGCCGTGAGTCCATGACTTTGTTGGGCTGTGTGGACCTGTGGTTTTTGGGCTTGGAACCTGGTAGGAAAAAGTCTACATTACCTACCTCCCTTAACTTTCATGAAAGTTTGTTTTTTCTTCCTGAACTTCAAAACTGGGTAAAACACTTTCCTCAACTTTTATAAAATAATTCATCTTACTCCTTGGCCCTGTTATAAGCAGTTTTAAATGTGGTTTTGTTTTTTTCTTTTTTATTTATTTCGGCTGAATCTTTGAAAAATCATAGTAAATCACAGAAAAATCATAAAATGGAAAATCCAATTTTGTTGGACTTCACATGAGTAGATCTACACAGTGAATATATAATATGGTATGCTTTAGTACAAAGTTTTTACTATGGTTTTAGATCTATGCTTTTATGTAATTAATTGGAATAATTCATATCTACAGTTTCTATGGTCCAATTATGATGAAATTTTATAGTGAGCTAATTATTGTATGATTGAACTATAGTAAAAATTTCATACTCATTCGATCATGTATAGCTTAGTTATAGATTTTGTGTCATGTCATCCTTCTGTACAAGCTATTGTTTTCCTTGATATATATCAGATATGTGAGCGCCTTTCTTAATAAAAATAAACATCTTCTCTCAAAACTTAAAACAACCATAGTTTGCCAATAGAATAGCCAAATTGAATTTTGATTGTATCATTGTATTTCCTACAAACAAAAATAAGATTGCAGCTGAGTACATTTGGATCATACTTTCTTGCAGAACCATTTTCCTCATGTAGGCCTTGTTTGAATACGCATGTATTCATCTCAATGCACAAGTCTTGAAGTGGATTATAGTGGAATTAAACTAAGTTCTATCTAATCCACTCAAATACATGTGGATTGAAGTGGATACACATGCATCCAAACAAGGCCGTAGATGGAACATTTATTAAGAAGAAAAATGTTATAAGTTAATGAGAAAATTGCCCCATGTCAGGGAGAAGATTATTCTAGTAGCTAGATTCACGATAATTCTTTTGGAATTTAGGAGTATGTTTCAACTACACGAGTTCCAAATTCACGACAAAAATGTTGCAGGCCCCAACGAAAAATTGTTCTAGCTACGTGAGAAAGTTGTTCCAGGTTGAGAACATATGCAAAGTTAGTATGCCAAAATAATGTTCTACGCTTAATAAAAAATGTTTTAACATCATGATAAAAAAATTCTAGAATCACAATAATGTTTTTAGTGGCATAGAAAAAACATCTTACCTTAAAAAACAGATATGTTATAACTTTACCAGAAAAATCTCAACAATAGAAAAAGAATAATGTACACAAAGTACCAGGAAACAAAAAAAATTGGCGATCACATTAGAAGTAATAAAGAGAAAAAATATTAGTGAAATGAAGATCAAATTTAAAACAGGAAAGTAAAAGAGGAAAATAAAATAAAGGAAAACGAAAAAAATAAAAACAAGAGGTCCAGCTGTCCCTGCCCATATCTCCTCCAATGGCGACGGCTAGCGAATGAGACGGCACGCGCGTCCATGGGCCAAATGGCCCATAAAGAAATAAATGGGACCTGCTCGCTTCTTCGTGGGCCAACACTGGCCATGTAAGAAAAATGGAAGTTGTAACCTTTCATATCTCAAGAAAAAAACTTCTTATTTCAATAGAGCCTAGTGTAATAGCCCAAAAATTTCTAAACCTCAATCCCCACGTGTAGAAATATTTTTAGCATGCTTGAAAACTTTGATATTGTTTTGTATGGTTCTAAATTAAATTTTAAAAACAAATAGTTTTGAGGATGCACTTCGTTAAAAAAAATTAGATTTCCCCAAACCACATATGCTGAGAAATTACATGATAAAATATTATTTTCTAAAAATGAATTTAGATGATTTTTTCCTGGATTTTTATAAAACATTTTAAGGCAAATAGCAGAACCAAAAATTTAAATATAACATTTTCGGGAAGAACTTTTAATTTCAAAACTATGTAAGCTATGATGCCGGATATATGCAAACGGATCATGCTTGATTTTTAGCATCTACCTAAATCTGCCTCACCATATATTTCTTTTGTTTAGGGGGCTAGCAGTACACCTGTTCTTAAAATTTATTTAAATTTGAAATTTTCAACGAAAACTGTACACTCTGCCCCCCCCCGGGACATAAAATATTCATATGGTTTGCTCACCAAAGAATCTGTTTCAAGCACCATAGCTTTATGTGATTGATATAAAACATTTGAATTTCAACATCTTTCTAGAAAAAAAAACCATTGTTTCGAAACTGTCCCTAAATGCAACTTGGTATTCTTTTATATTTTACTTGCGAACATACCTGTGTATTGCACGGGACATACAACATATTGTATGGTCCTAAGACCCATAATTAGCTAGCTATCTTGTTAGATTTAATTGGCAACATATAATCTTATTTTAAATTTAGAGTGCTCTTTAATTATACCTTAAGACTCATAATAAATGCTAGCTACAACGGATTAATCCCATTTGAGAAATTTATTGGAGATTGACTCAATTTAAATTGGTGTCAATTGTCTACTTCTGTTGTGAGGTTAAAAAAAGATAGAAGCTAGTCACACGTGTGGATGCCAAGATGCGACATGCATGGTCGATCAGGCTTACCCGGCTAGGCCCCGACACGAGTAGTGTGATGCCACGAAGATTTTGCAACTTTAAACTATGTAAGAGATAATGGACCGAGTAATGGAAGAAGAGAGGGGGGAGCAACAAGAATCGATAGAAGAAGAGTGATGAGAGGTACCACCGGCCACCTATATATATTGGAGTTTACGGGCATCCATGATCCATCCATCCATATCTGAACTTTTTAGCGTGTTTGGATTAAGGAGCCGAATGGTCCAGACCGACAGCCGGACGACACCGTCCGCCGACTGCCGGTCATCATCCGAACCTGCTGGATAGGTTCCATGCCGCATGAGTTGGTGCCGGACCTGATCCTTCCACAATCCAAACACGCTGTTGTGAATCAGTATCAGGCCATCAAGGGTACCCATGAAAGAACAAATATATTGCAATCCACTGCAGTGCTTCTAGGTTTAGATATATTTACAATCACCTATACTAGCATCCATGGACCATGATCCAATGATTCATGTATATCTGAACTATTTGGAGAATGCCCATCAGCTACCTACGAATTCATCAGCTGTTTTGCAGCCCAGCTCAAAACCGAAGCAACATTGTCCTCACTTCATCCCTGAGCTTGAGCTGGTTCCACTCCTCCACCCACAGCGTGTAGCTCGACTGCGGCGCGAGCACGTCGACAGACACCTCCTTGCTCGCCACCAGCTCACGGAAGTAGCGCTCGAACTCTTGCAGCTCCTCCAGCTTCATCGCCAGCTCCGCCACGTCGCGCTCGCCCCGGGCACTCTCTGTCTGCTCCCTCGCCTCCTCCACTCTCGCCCAGAAGCACGGGTCCTGCGTGAGCCCGGCGTACTTGCTGCGTCTCCGGCTGCTCGCCGACGCTGCCAACATGGAGGACGTGACGTCGCCGCCAGCGCCGCCCGTGCATGCCTTCTCCTGCCACCACCTGTCGAACAGCTCGTACCTCCTCTCCCGGCCGTGCGTCATGTAGCTCCCGCTCGTCCGGTGGTGGCCGTGGTGGTGGTAGTCAGCGATGTCGAGAGGCTCGACAAGGAGCTGGTAGAAGCGGGCGGCGTTGACCCACTTGGCGCGGCGGTGGAAATCGTGGGGGAGCTGGCCGGCGTCGAGCATGGTGAGCACGCGGTCCCAGAACTGGCCCAGCTTGATGCGGTTTAAGTTCACCTTGCTGTACTTCCTGGGCGACCGCCGCTGCTTGAACGCGTCGTAGTACCCCATCTCCGCGTCGAACAGCGCCTTGTACCATTCGATCTGCGCACGGCACGGCGTGATCCGGCCCAGCTGCGTCGCCAGGCGAGCGGAGTTCAGGCTCGGCCGCCGCCCTGCCCGCTTCGATGTCTTCAGCCACTGCCGCGCCGTCGACGCCTCCATGGCCTGCCGTCGCCGATGGCAATGCCAGCATGTCAGACAAGATATATATACTACACTGAACACGCGCTGTAGTTTTATACACGCAGACAAATAGTATGTACGTACGTGTGCCCTCACCATGGCGTCGATGCCGGAGGCCTCCAGCGCGAGGGAGACGCCGTCATCGTAGTTGGGCGTGGCCGGCGCGTCGTCCACACGCAGGCGTCTCTTGAGGAGCAAGTGTTGTGGCATTTTCAGCACGAGCTCGCCGTAGCAGGAGTGTGCGGCCTCCGGGGACCCTGCACTGGGCGAGCTCCGAGAGGCGAAGGTGGCGTACAGCATCTGTACCACGGCGGTCGCGTTGTCCACGCACGCCGCGCCTTCTGGGGAGCACAGCACGTACGTCCCAAATGGCCGGTACGGGCTCCCACGTGTGGTCTCATCAGGAGCGGCAAGCTTCTGCTCCATGGCCACAGCGCCAACGTGCCTCTGTATCAGCTGCCGGAGCGCATCCTTGTCAGTGTCCGCCATGCGCATGGTGACTGTGGTCACCGCGCCTGTTTGGCGAGTCCGCGCTGGCCATTGATGCAGTTGCATTCCGACAATGATGTGCGCAGGGACGGCGTCCGGGGGCAGAAGAGGAGCCTTGGGACGACGTCGTGCTGTGAGACTACGTGGCAGAAGTTACCACCCCAGCGCTCGCGCAGGATGGCCCTGGACAGCGCCTCGTTGCCTAGTAATGGGCTTCCAAAGGTGACGCACAGGACAGGAGGAGCAGGTGCCCATGGTGAGCTTGACGACGAGATGCAGAGGAAGTGTAGCGCCGCGAGGGCCGCAATGGCGCCACCGAGGAGTGGCCCGTGAACACGACTGCCTTACCCTGATCTCATCCAGTAGCATCTGCAATGTCAATCAATTCTGATGAGTAAGTCACAGTTTCAGCGTGGCAAAGCACACTGAAAACTTTTAGTAGCATAATTTCAGTGAGGCAGGTTGAAAAGTAAAGATTGGAGAGAATGGAATCATTAGCTGCATAAAGTGACACACAGTACTCATACTAGAACAAAAATAATATTCATGGAAAAAGATCGTCTCAATAGTTTTATGAACAACAATTAGGTCACTCGATTAAAAAAGGCAAAAGTGATAAAAGTATACAACAAGATGGAGACAAGGTGTGGTCCTCTGAAACTTAAAATAAAAAGATCAACGAAACCTGAAGATTCTCTTCAGATATTTGAAGAACTGAATTAAAGTCCTCCAACAAAAGAATGGAATTTGTGATGGAGCACAAGGCTGTTGTCATTTAGGTTATTATTCTACAACAGTGGAATGTAGTTCAAATTCATGAATCATAAGTAAAGTATCACAGGTTTTTTTGTGTGGTCATCTGAAATTATAGAAGAACAAAAGATAATGTCCGGTGAAAGCAGCCTGAATTCTGAATGACAGTAAAACTCTGAAGTACAACTCTTCACCATGGTTACTAGATTTTATTCCTCCAGATAAGTCATTCTTTGCATCTTTAGTCGAAGCATTTTAAGAATTCGAAATTTCTGCAGATCTATATCAGTATCTATGCAATTGGTGCATAAAGTTGTCCAATCATGAGCCACACTGCAGTGCATTTTAAATGCCTTATCACTATCACCTGTTCTGTTGCTCATGGGCCCTAAGAAATGCATCAGGTGTAAGCGACAATAAAGGGGCAACAGCAACTTTTGGTGGGTACTGTGATCTATGCCATGTGCTTGTACTTTTTGTTTGCACTGGGACATCAGAAAACAGATGCATAGCATCTCAAGTTAGCCGCCAAATTTGACACGGATTGTTCTCTGTACACACACACCCAGCTTTGAGCTCTGAGGAGAGGTCTGAAGTAACTTCACAAACTCTTACTATGCCAGAGAGGGCAAACTGTTACAAGAAATGAAATCACCGGAGAGAAGGAAATAGGCACTGAAGTGTTGTTTGCCCAGAGAAGGATTTCGTTTTGTTTTCATCCCACAATGTTGTTAAATTTCTGACTGACTAAATTATTTGCTCCTGACTGGAGAATCAAACCTCTTACTCAACAGTTTCTAGACTACACACAGTCAAGAAACACAAGGATCTTCAAGGTACAACGGACACAAAATCAGACGGCGGACACTCTAGCAAAACAGGCTTTCCTAGAGTTTCAGGCTGCAATCTGTAATGATACACTCTGTATCTATACTCACAGCTCGATGCTGTTGAAATATTCTCGTTTGTTGTAAAAAAAATTTGCTCTATTAAAATACTGAATGACTGACACTGGAATTAAAATATCTCATATCTCAGTGCATCTGTCTGAACACAAGGACACGGCAACAACCAAAGACAGGCACATCACCATCACAATAACTCCGCCCCCAGCCAACAAGAAAAGCAAAAATATCAGATCATCACATGAACGCGCAGCTTAAAAATGACAATTTTTTAGTCAAATTATTAGTGGGCAAGGCAAACTGCTCCAATTAACGCGCTAAGCATAAAGTAAACGATACTGATCAGGCAGATATTTTCAATGGAGGAGTAGTAATCAAGCCGTGTTTAGTTGAGGAAACTTTGATTTTGGGCTACCGTAGCACTTTCGTTTTTATTTAACAAATAGTGTTTAAACATAGACTAATTAGGTTCAAAACGTTCGTCTCACAATTTCCCACCAAACTGTGCAATTAGTTTTTTTTTCGTCTATATTTAATGCTCCGTACATAAACCGCAAACATTCGATGTGATGGATACTGTAGCACTTTTTGGGATTTTGAGTTGCGACTTAACATGGGCTCAGTGAGTTAAGTTACCTGGAAATCAGGGGAGCCGCAGAGTTTCAAGAAGCACTGCAGCGCCAGCGCCTGCACGGCAACCGGCTCCCCCGCAGCAGCGGCCGGGTCGGTCTCGGCGGCGACCAGCGGCGCGAACATCCGCCCCGCCGCCGCGTCCCCGCCGCCGAGCCCCACCGGCGCGAAGACGTCGGCGCCGCCGCCGCCGCCGGCCACCGCCGCGCCTGCCGCCGACAGCGCGGCCTGCACCCCGGAGAACCCCACGTACACCTTGTTGCCGCCGTCCTCCTCGCCGTGCACGAACCCGAGCGCCGCCGCAGTGGCGGCCGTGCAGCGGTCCCACGCGCGCGCCAGCAGCGGCGAGGAGGCCAGCAGCGCGCCCAGGACATGGCTGGTCTCGAACCTTCAAAAGGACCACGCATTTGAGCTTGTTTGTGGCATCTTTTTTGTGCGCGACTGATGCAGCAAGTATTTATAAGTGCTGAAGCGAGGAAAAGCGATGGAAATTTGGAGGGGGGGAACTTACATGGAAGCTTCTTCCTCTCCTGCGGCATCGTCCATGGCTGATGAGCTTCCCCGAAGCGGGGGATGGAGAGAGTAGAGAGAGAGAGAGAGAGAGAGAGGGACTTGGAGTTGAGAGAGAAAGAGAGGAAGTGGTCAAGTCTAATTTGGCGGGCAGGCTCTGTCTTGGCTTGGGGAGGAGGGGGTGGGGCAGGGGCCACACTGGTCAGGGGTCAAATGGTGTGGTGGATTTTGCATAAAGGGCCTCTATAATTTGGTTGCTTACTTTGTACTCCTTGGAATTATATCTTATGGATACTTGGGTTGGGGCATATTATGAAAATATAATATAATCTATGACAAATCTAATGATACACATTTAATAGAGTAATTTTTAGTATTTTTATATAAATTTGATCAAATCTAGGATGGTCTCTGTGTACATTTTTTTAAGGATGTAGTATTCATATGTATCTTGTTTTGTATTTATTCTAAATCTTTTTTAAAAGGGGAAAACATTTATGAATCTTTTAACAATAATTTTAAGTGGTGTAAACAAGTGAAATTTAACAGATCTGATCGCAAAGAGATACTCAGTTCCAAATTATAAGTCGTTCTGGTTTTTGTAGGCACATTGTTTTTACGATGCACCTAGATATAGGCCATGTTTAAATACATAATAAAAGTATTGTATCTAGAAAAATCAGAACGACTTATAATTTAAAATGAAGGGAGTACATCATTTAGAGTTTAAATTCCCCTAAATTGCATATATTTAGTATGATAATATACTGCAAGTTCCATATTTCCTTCGTCACGAAATGATAATCATAGTTCAAACAAAAAAAATCTACTTATACAAATTTTCACCAACAATTACTCAAATTATATAAAAGTCTAGAACATGAAACTTGTATCAATGGATTTGTATTCAAATCGACTTTGAAATTATATTGATTCATTAGCAAATGACAATATATAATACCAGAAAATAATGGTCAAAATCTATTTTGTTTGACTTTTTTATGATCAAAGTATGCATATTACTCTAGGACAAAGGGAGTATAATTTTTTGAAAAAAATGTTATTTTCTTATACTACTCAATATACTAATAAATTAAATGCGTATTGATTTTGATATATAAGCCATTATTACTTGAAATTAAACAAAATATTTATTTTTATTATTATATCAAACAACCAATAATTTTAGACTAAATTTTAGGAAAGGCATGAAGCATTTAAGTAGTTTAGATATTTTGTGTTCGATATTTATTGTAATAAAATTTTAACTAGACTTATTCAATTTTTTGATAGAAAAATTTAGTTTATTCTAGATGTTTTGAACAACTCTTAGTCTAAGGAGTTAACTATTTTCTACAAAAAAATATAATTTGTGTGTTCGCAAGGTGTATTCATCTTGGAATATTAGATTGTAAAAATTCAATTATTTTCAAACTAAATATGATTTTGTTATTAAATTGCTAATTCATGAATACTTCAAATTCTTAAATTACTAAAATAGAAGATATTGTACTATTTTTCATATGCAGCAAGCACTTCATTGCTGATAAAAGAAAGCTTGACCTTTGTGTTGGTTACTTTTCTATCCTCTAATACGGTGTACCTTTTTTTTGTCTGTGCATCTATGCTAATATTCGTGTGTGCGCTAATTGACTCCATAGTGGTGGAAAATATAAGTGGCATCATGTCTTAGACTGCACTCCAAATGGGCAAAGGCGACCTTTTGCAATTCCCTTTTAAATATATTTAATCTTTTAGATTTATTTTTACTTATGCTCCTGCTCGAAACAGGGAGGAGATCATGTGATGAGGAGATCTAGTTCCTATCATCGGATCTGATGAGGGTCTCTCAGCTTTTGGGCATCTTTCTGTAAAATTCTCAAAGTTTGTTGTAAAGGCGTATTTTATCCATGCTATGATGAATATATTAGTATATCTCTTTTATTTAATGTGTGGTCAAATCTCTAGTTCACTGCATATACTGGCCCCCCTACGTAGTACTTCTCTCTTTTTTTTTTTGCTATTCTTTAACTTGTCCTCTACTATAAAACATTTGTTTTGATCAGCGATAAGGACTGCGTTCTGGCAGTGGCAGGTCACTATAAAATACTTTTGGGTCACGCAGGCATGGCATGGCGCGGCGGGTGTGAACACATGCTCGAACGAATTCTGTACATAATCGCTGAACCAGCCAAAATTAAATGTCGTTTTTTTATATGTGGAGTATGTAATTCTAGGATTATCATATTCTTATTGTTGCTTAATTTTTACACCATATATACAAGAACATATGAACAAGAATGCATGTGTTGGTTGAATACTTTCGTCTGTTCTCGAGTCTTCAAATTTTCTTTTGCCTTGAGTTAAAGTTTGTCAATAATTAGTTGGAAATCTCCTATAAGCACTAGTACAGAAAACATTGTGGAGGCGGACGTTTTGGATTTTTGGAGACGGGTAAAGTAACCGCCTCCAATCAAAAGTCACAGTTAATGCACAGACCATAGACTATTTTTAGAGGCAGTTACCTTAAGACGACCGCCTCCGTAAATAAAAATAGCTGCCTCTGTTAGTCATAGGCATTAACCGAGGCGGTTGGATTTTGTGACCGCCTCAGTTAATAAAAGGACACTATCTTGCAAAATGATTTATGTAGTAGTGAAGGACAAAGGTAATGTGGATTGCTCATGTACACTTTAAAGTGGGGCCTAGGTAAACTGACTATAACTATTGCATACTTCACAATGGTTATAGTTTAGGGCCTCTTTGACAACAGCTCAAGCGGCTTCGGCTTCTCATGACGTGTACACTGTAGTGCTACTATAGCTGCACTATACGTCACTGTAGCAGAAGCTCCTTTTCTCTTTCAAGATCAAAATGAACTAGCAATGAGGAAAAGCCCGTGAAGCCAGTCTGGAGATGCTCTAAGGTACTAGGAGTATCAGCTATCATCAGGTCTAAAATCTACCAAAGGCAGGGGTGAGCTCTCCCACTTCTTTTCTCCCCTTTAACACTCACGCTCACTCCCCGTTCCGCATCTGGCGGAGGGAGCTTGGTCGTATCACTTGTACAAATCTGCACATCTATGACAAAAATCCTAATAACGAATCAAAAACTGTCATAGAAGATCGATTTCTATGACAACTTTTTTTTTCATTTCGTCATGGATCATTGGTGACGGTCCTCTGGCCCTACCTATCTATGATGAAATCATATATCGTCTGTTCTTGTTCATCTATGATGATTTGTTGTAGATCTGTGATGACCAGAACTTCGTGGTGGTGGAGGTGGAAGCAAGACGAGGGGTGACGGTGCTCGTGGAGAACAAGCTCTTGGCCGACACCGCCCAGATTTGCGAGGGCTCTGACATCCTCGGTGGCGGCGGGCTCAGGAGCAGCTCGGTGGTGGTGGGCACAGGAGTGGCAGCACTGGTGGTGGTGGTCTCGGGAGCGGCTCGGTGGCGCGGACCCAGGAGCACGCAGGTTGGTGGTGGCGACAGGCTCGCAGGGTGCAGCGGCAGCAACAATCTTTTTTTAAAAAAAAAATATTCATTTATCACCACTGATTTGCATCCGGTGGTGGTGAGCTTCATTTTCACTGCAGAATATCAGCATCAAAAAGAAAAACTGGGGTGGGCTTTTCGAGCCGATGATGAGATATGTGTAGGAGTGTTCATCCATGCCACGGTGCCACTTTGTGGATTGGTGTGCAGTTTTTATATATACTGAACATGTGTTTGAGATTTAGAACCAGAAGCTGGATTTCATTGTTCTCTTTTATTTCAAATCAGTTTTGTTATTGGCTGAATAATCTTACCTTCTAGATTACAGTTTAGTTGGTGTGCACGTGCCACTGGACTAGTGGAGTGAGGAAATATAAACCGATAGTTACAGCATTGGATCCTACTCCTTCCGTCCCAAACTATCATTAAGAATTTTAAATTTGATCAAAATTATAGAGAAAATTACAAAAATTTATGACATCAGATAAATATACTATGAAAATATAATTAATGAGAATTCTAATGATGCTTATTTGATATCATAAATATTATTATTTTATTATATAAATTTGGTCGAACGTGAGACGCTTTGACTCTCAAAAAAATTAAAATGACTTATAATTTAGGACAGACGGGGTATTATTTATATATTTTCCGTGGACAACTGGCATTTCCTGCTTTTTTTTATTTGCCATCTTCTCTTTTTACATTCCCCCTTTTGCCTTTTTGAGGTGTGGGATATGATCGAAAAAGGGTTCTCACTTTTCGCCATGATCATCAGGAGCATGGACACCGCACATCGTGTCGTGTCGAACTTTTTCTCTTGTCCATGACGTTCACATATATGGATTGGTCTGCTCACGATTACATTTTCAGAAAACAACACACCATTTTTTCCTGACCAACTTCTTCCACTGTGATTTATTTATTTTTATACGAGACTTGCATATATTTTAAAAAAAAATATTCCATTCCAATTTACAGGTCATTTTGATTTTCCTAGATTAAAAAAAGACACAACTTTTCTTATGTATATAGACATATTGTATATTTAGATTATAACAAAAGCTATGTACCTGGAAAAGCTAAAATAACTTGTAATTTGGGATAGAGGGCGGTAGTAAGAAGAGAGGGGAGCGTTTGTAAATGCCATGTTGGTTTTGCTGCTGCTGAAAAATAGTAAGTGTCACTATTATATTTTCTTACTCCTCACTCCTAGGATGGCAGTCTAGGTCCATCCATCCATCCATGCATGGATCAAAACCACGCCGTTTTTGTTTTGTTAGAAAGTTATGGTAGCCAGATCTCATACTGAGGACTACAGGCCGGGCTCTAATTTATAATAAAAAAATATGGAGTTGTTGAGAAGTAGTTAGGCAGCACGCTCAAGGCATTATTGCAAAGAATTTTCTTCAGCTGCAGGTAGAGTGGTAAACTGGTAATTGGTAAATAGCTTGCAAACTCCAATGCCACTAAAATTGTGCGTTTCAGATCAGTTCTATGCAATCTGCTTGTACCTTCTAGGTTACACTTTAGT